CCCCCCTCCTCCCCCGAGGCATCGATGAACTATCGATAGTTCAGGTCGATGCATCGATGTTTTGAAAACTGCTATCGTGACAGCCCTACTTTCTTCTGTGGTATTTGTCCTTTTTCTTTGACCGGTATAATGGATTAGTCAAACGTTAGTTACCATGTAGTTCAAAGCACCAAATCCAGACCGTTGCTAATTTTGACTCAAAAGTTCTCATTTTTTTGCATTTGTCCTCTTTCGCCTTTAAAAAGGAAGCGAAAGAAAGTAAGAAGAGGTACTCACTTGCCAATGTTGCAGGAATCCCCGCCAGGCGATCGATTTTGTCGAAACTGTTGGGGGCAACATGTTTCACCTAGGTTCTGCCTCAGTCGGAGATGGAAGCAGCCGTAGAGAATCGGATTCATGACACTGTTGAGCAGAGGCAGGGTCTCTGATAGCACCTGGACCCAGCGGGGGACGTGCACATCCCCACCCCAAAATACGTGTAGAGTTTGGACCACGTAGTAGGGGCACCAGCAGATGACGAAACTCAGCACGATGCATACCGTCATCTTGATCGTCTTGATTTTGGCCTTGGAGAAGGTGCTTGCATTACACGATCGCCTCAGTGCCGGTGCTCCGGATCTCTTGGGCACCTGAAGACCTGTTCGTTGTAATTAAAAAAATAAAAGCAATTCTAGAGATATACGGAACATTACCTTTTCACCCTCGACGCAAAAATTGACAAGATCAGTTTCATAATGAGGATTTTAAATTTCGTCAATCATCTTTCGACTTCTTCCAATTCATGCGAGTAGCTCAACAGAAAAAAGTATACTCATATTTCGACAGTGTCGGGTACGATTCTTCGGGTAAAATTCGGGTACGCGATTCTTTGTGCATAGAAAAATTCGCTATATTAAAATAAACGAAATTAGGCGCACGAGCGACCGAGTGGACAACGAAGAATACCGGACTATTACGAGAGCTCTAAAGCAAAAAATTAGCCCGGCGAGATGGAAAGTCGAAGAACGGCTATCAAGCGAGGCTAAGAGGAATCCCAAGACCTTTTATCGATATGCCAACGGCAGGGGCCAACATTCGATCGGGCCCCTTATGAACATCAGGGGGGAGTCAATTGCAAGTAATAGAGAAATGGTCGGGTACATGAGTTCTTAGCTTCTATCTTCAAGAACGAATCTGATGACGCACTGGCATTGAAGACCGACCATCGACATGACGATGTAGTGGCTGCCCCGCCCTGTGACTATGAGAAGATTAGATGTCTTCATGAACAAAAAAGAGGGAAAAACAGATGAGTGGTAAAAAGTGAATGGGCATTAGGTGGGCGATGCAGTAGGCGACTAGGCCTAGGTAGGCTCCCACAAAATATCTGTCTTTAAGAGGGGTGAGCCAATCTCAGATTAAATGAACGCTCGACCACGATACTTGACGTGCTGACGGCAGAACTGCCTCTTCATATCCCTAAACCTTGGGTCTTGAACCTTGAACCTCGAACAAGCGAGGAGATAATGGAAGCAATGACTGAATATTCAAAGATGCAAGACATGAATTAGCCAAAACGAGTTGAAATAGATATTCGATACTATGCGTGATGACCATCAGATTAAGATGTAGGCTCCATAAGGCTAACGGAACCTGGACGATATTCATGTAACTGTGTGATGCCAGTCCAAGTCGATTTTCATCTCTACCGATGTGAGCACAGACGAGGAAATTCCGTGCCAGAATGTTCTTCTTAATCCTTCTCCGCAGGATAATTATGTCCGAGTGGAAAATGAGTTGCCACAAATGGGTACTGCTTCGGATCGCGTTGCGGGTACGGTCCTGAATAACTGTCGAAGGAAGCCATACCATCATCGACGGAATCGTCACTTCCATCGTCTAATTCAAAAGGAGTGACTCCGGGCGATGTAAGAATCTCCAAGGTCGATTGGAAGGGATCGAAGAGGGAACTAACATGACGAGAAGTCTGCACCCACCATCGAATGGGCAAGGGAAAAAAGCCCCGGAATTTTACTCTTGACGTGTTCCCTTCAGAACGGCCTTCAAAAATTCATTCAAATTCGTTTCTCCAAAGCAAGACTACGAGCAATTATTGAAAAGCAATCGGAAATTATAAATTGACGAAAGACTGATCCATTCAGAGTGACTGTTCTCCTGCCTCCTGCCAAGGTGAGCCAGGGGAACATCTGAAAGCCTTACAGGAAACTTCCTGTGTTCATGATAATTGATCCATCAATTATCACGTGGGAGACGCTCATAAGAACTACCAACAAGTAAATGTAAGTCCTAATTCAATTTCAATGGAAGAGATGTTCGATGTGGCCTGGATGATATGCAAGCCGAGACCGGTGGAGTTTTCTCCTTTCCTCTACCGGCACCCATTTTCAATCTCAATTTTCAATATCCATTTTCGGTCCTTTTTCCGTTTTGTCCATTTCCAACATTAACTCCTTTTGAATAAATGCCCAAAGCTGGATCTCAGTTCAACAAATTTTGATGAAACCGTTGGGAACGTATCAGCCCATGTGCAGTGCAATTTTCGTGAAGTAGCTCTAGTAGGAGTAGAGATTTATTAGTCAAAGTTTAATAATCTTTTTTGCCTCCCCCGTCAGGTTGGGGACGTTTCACAGAAAGTCCTTTCGCATACGAGACCTTTTCGCCGAACGACTGTTTCCTAGAAATGGTACCGTTTGGCAGAATAAAAACAAGCATCCTCGGTGCCTGTTTCGAGAAGAAAAGCCTGGCACTTGGAATACTTTTTTCCTTAAACCTTCGCCAAAATTGCTTTTAAAAGTCAAATGAAGGAATTGCCCGTCTGGTCCAGGTCTGCATCTGTTCCAGTAATGGTAGCAGCGGGTTTTGCGCTTCCCTTAGCGGCTTCCTTCAGTTCACTTCCGATGGTTCTTCACTATTTCTCCTTTGTGGAGAACACGATCGTGAAATTCAGATGGCCGTTTTACGAAATCCATTCGGTCCCTAGTAGCGGTCATAGCGCACCCTCATGAATGCAACGCCAATATATCATTCCGTTCCTTCTTGTTTGTATTGAATATATAGCCTCCCACCTTTAACCGAGCAAAAAATAAATGGCACCGTCCCCGTGCAAGCTTCTGCAAGTGATGTCTAGAAACCGTCAAGGCTTGAAAGTCCTTCACTCGGCTGGTGCTAACAGGTCCTTTCTAGGAAATGGCTTTCTACAAAACGACTCTCCTGACTATAACCGGTTATTCGGCGAAGCGACTTTACTGCGAAACGGAGTTTTCGGTGAATCGGTTTCTACGAAACGCCCCGGTCCCCACTCGTCCACAGAACTGGAAGCAGAAACTAGATCGTTCCGGTCGATCCAGGTTTCAATCCAGTTATTTGACCTTTGGTAATTCCGCCTTTTGTCCTTCGGGAATGAAACACCCCCTCGAAGTCCAAAAACTCATTTGTGACATTTAGACTCCCGGCAATGAGCTAACGTCATCTCTACTAGACCTCGTTAGAAAGTGGATGAAGATGGCTGTGGGGCTGAAGCCGATAAGCCAATTGCGAATCGCCCCCTTTACCTTCACTAACCCCAAGGTTCAGTAGCGGGATACATAACAAGGGCCACTGTGGAGGCTGCAAAGTGGGAGGAGGTTAAATCTCCGAAAATATACGCGCCCACGAACCTGGTAGCGTCATAACCTATCTTTCCAGGAAACCATCCTAACTTAAATCTGGTAACTTTAAATTTACTTGACAACTTTGCGATCGACGATCACCACTTTTCGCAAAAACTAATTCAAAGCCATAAAAATACACGCTATGTACCCGGGAAACGGGATTCGAGCCAACTTCTCACCTGATCCATCTGGATTGAGGGTACCAAGAGAGCTGAGGTTTTCTGATTCGGTCTGTTCCTTGCTATGCTGCCAGACGACCCAGGAGATCCTGGAATACCAGCTGGCGATGAGGAGTGTTGGAATGACGAAGAGGAACACGAGTAGGAAGGACCAAAAGACCTTCCGCTGCCATTCCGCCGAATACCCAGCACTCTTACACGCGTACACAGGTTTCCCGTCCGGATGGTGACCTTCCAACGTCTGAAGGAGAAATTTCCAATATCCATTACGTGTTTCATGCAGTTAAAATGAGAAGACACGGAGCGATATATAAAGAGAGGGATATGCGGGAATTCAGGCAAGAGCGAGATCCATTGCGGAGAAGTAAAATATAGGGTGGCTATAAAGTCTTGCAATCACTTCTGGGAAGAAAAACTCCGTAACAAATCATCCAATTTGCATGAAATTTACAGGGTATACATAAGAAGTAGGGCTGTCACGATAGGAGTTTTCAAAACATCGATGCATCGACCTAAACTATCGATAATGTATCGATGCATCGGGGGGGGGGGGGGCCGGAGGATTCCATCTTTTCTCGCCGCGATCGGAGCGCGGACCTCTATCCGGCTTTTATTATCTCACGCTTGTGATCCGGGGTGCAAGGGGAAGGTGTGACCTTCGCAAAGAGTAATGAAACCAACTATGCTATCCGTCAATCATATCACCCATCCAACCAACCATCGAAGATGACATCCATCCATCGATGGATGCATCAGGGCAGCACTAATTTTCCTCGTTCTACACTGTCTAAGAGTAATAAAACCAACCATGCTATCCGTCAACCATATCACACATGCAACCAACCATCGAAGATGACATCCATCCATCGATGGATGCATCAGGACAGCCCTAATTTTCTTCGTTCTACACTGTCTTTGGACATCGGCGCCGGCAGATAGGAAACCTGCCGATGGTGCCAAACCGACGGTTGCCGAAACATCGGTACAACCCTAGAATAAGCAACGTCCACATTCACTTGATTTCACCACAGGTAGAAAAACGCCCCAAGTATAAAACGCCCTAAGGCAAGTTAAGAATTAAGAAAGTTAAGCCTGCATACTTAAGTGATAGACAGGAATACAGAGAGGGGATAAACCAATGTACATTTCGAAAACAAGGGAGTATAAGAACAGTCCACTTCCGCAGAATGCACCCATGAGATCGAGCCGGAGACTGAAACTGAAGTTAAAAAAAAAATAATAATATTCTCGGTCTTCCCCCCTCTCCTTTCCCACTTCCTGTCTCCGATCCGACTTTTTTTCCCCTTCCCGTCTTTCATATAGTCAGTCCCAGCATTTCCGGAATTTGATTGTGATAAGAAATCGCAAGCCCATTCGGGTCACGCCGCTTCTTCCTTTCCCCGCCGGGACGGACTGTATTGAACTGTACTCGCCTCAATCCAATAGGACATTTCCCCTTTAAAATCATTTGCCGATACATCGCGATGGTCGAAAATTCTATCGATATCTCCAACTATCGATAGCGGTATCGATGCATCGACCTATCGTGACAGCCCTAATTTTAACGGAGGAGGATAAAAGCATTATTCGTGCTCTTCGCGAAGAAAAAGGATATTCCTTAGACAAAATTCTGCGTGAATATCCAAATTGAAACTGGAAGAGACGAAATGTGGCAAAGTTTTTGAAAAAACTCTCCCAAACCGGGAGTGGAAAACGTGCTCCAGGTAGTGGCCGCCCAAAATGTGTAAGAACTGAGGTGAACATTCGAGCTGTTTGTGACCTCATCTCGAGCCAAGAAGGGAGACCAGGCACCAGCAAAAGCGAGCGTGAAGCTGCGAAGGAAATTGGAATTTCGCGTTCTTCTGTGCAGCGTATCATCAAGCAAGATCTTAGACTCAAAGTCTTCAAACGGGTACCAGTTCCCGAACTTTCGGAAGCTGTGGTAATTATGAAATACTGAAATACTGCAGTTCTTGACGTCAGCGGCGCAAAAACAGCTTGATTGCAAAACCCTAAGATCGAGACACGAAGACTGTCAATAGAATAACTTATGTGCCGGTTGCTTTTCCTGAATTGCGTGCGTATTGATGAAAGGCATCCCTAAAGGTTGCGCCATTGAGTTCCGTTTTAAAAGGTCTGCTTGCACCTCTTAAAAGTAGGTGGCCGGCCTGTTCCAAGCGTGTGAAAAAGGTGCAACTCTCCTCGGCTCCCCATTGGTCGACCTCCCAGAATGATTCAATCTGAGGAGACATTCTCACCTTGAGACCGATTCAGGTTCACTCCTTCCATCTCCCCTTGAAAATAAGGAAAGGCAGCGGAATTAAAATTATACGAAATAATTTTATTTTTTTATTCGATGTTGATGCACCTCTTCACGTTCCTCCTCCACACCCAGCGACCATATTGTGAATTTTCTTCCTGTGGCCTTTTCAGGCGATAGTCATGACTATGACAATCTCGTTCCGCCAGACATACTTTTCCTACGAACGCTAAAGTATCACTACAGCTACTGTGGCATAAATCTATCCATTCTATTGCGACCTTGCGATAGGCAAATTGTAGTTGAGAAAAAGTTCATCCATTCTCTTCTCGCTGAAGCAGCGAAGATCAGTTCTCGGACATGGAGAAACCTTAGTTCCTATTTAACTGTGAAGGTGGCAGGACTTAATGTCAATCTTTTCCGATAAATCAAAAGTGTGTGCCCGGACGGGACCGATAAACATTGTCAGTATAAAATGATTTCAATGAGTTTTGCAGGTCCGACGTCCTCAGTACTCACGCTGGTCGGCATGCTAAGAGCTTCCATTAGCAGGCGACATTCGAAGAAAACAATTCGTCCAACTTCTTTGTCTCTCCGATCTCCTATGAGACTTCTCCTCTAATTGAGACGTCCATCCATTTCCTGTCCAAAAAGAAAAGGAAGTCAAGCGATACCATCGGATATGACATCTTTGACTCGCCGCGCCATGTCTCATTGCAAAATTGAAAAGAAAGATATTTTCGCGAAATATACAGTACTGCTTGCATGCTTGCTCAGAGCTGTGAACATATATTGTTTTTCTTTCATGGAAATGTTGCAAAGGGACACTTACAATACACTTACAGGAAGGTAAAGAGAGGAGAGTCACAGGTGGGAAAGAAATAGAGCCGCAGAGGAAGGTGATGCAGGGACGGAGAGAAGGGATATAGTTATTAGTGGGGCCGTGGCGTCATGCCACATGTCATGCCTCCCACAGGCCTGCATTCAATTCAACCCTTATCAGTGAGAAATCCTGCTTAGTTTTCTGGTCTTTTACAGTTACCTTCAAATTGGTCAAAACCTGAATACGGAGTTTCCAATTCGTCTAATCGTTGATCGAATCCATATCTCTTATGGAAATGAGAAAGAGATGCAAGCAATCGAAGATATTTGGAAAAATAATTAAGTGAATGGCCTTTCTACTGCCGTTCGGAAAATGAAGTGACCTATTCATTTTCAGATTCGGCCTGAAAGCATACAAATCTGAACACAACCCTTCTTTCGAGTAGAACCCGCCCTTATTCGTAGCAAGTTGCCGCATGCTTTCTTATGTCATTCTCAATGAAAAACTGAAAAAACAACATGATTACTTTGCTCCAGATTGATTCAAAATGAAGGATAAAAGAGATAATGAGTGATTTGAAATTGATCCGGAGTGTTACAGTTGGTCATAAGCCATGTAATTTCTAAGGACCATTGTCCCTTCCTTATTCAGTGGGAGGACCTTGGGGGAAGGAGGGACAGATCCACTTCCATCACCATAAGACCACCACACGCCATCCAATTTTCCGTGGGAGACACATCGGAGATAGGCGAGGACATCCGATTCTTATCGGGTCGGACTGAAATTTCCCCTTATTTTCCCACCTAGTCGAAGGAAGAAAAGTCGGAGCTTGTGTGACTGGACCTGACGTTTCGTCTAATGTTGGAGGAACGATGAAAACGTTCCACGTCTGAGAGAAGTGGCTGCTCACGAGCATGCCTTGGCCAATGCCATTGCATTGCTAGAAACTGGCTGAGTTTATTTCAAATTTTCCGTGTTTTCAATCGAGTTCAACATTACTTCATTCGACTCCGACCTTTCCAATGCAGGTTGAGCACCTCCCAATCGCCACATTTACACAATCACTTCACAGTCGACTGAAAACCTGTTGAAATCGAGTGAAAAAACTGGCGAACTCAACTGAAAAACACCATAGGCCTCGGTTGGTTCAAGGCACAGCACTATTCCTACTGGAGGCGAATAAGGAAGATAAACACCCGAGGAAAGCTTAACACCATAGGCGGCGATTTTTTCAGAAATTTGGGGGACCTCAGAGACAGTACACCAAGTATTTCTTATTCTCATGTCCTCGCTGTGAGCCCCTTCTGCCAAGTTTTTTGGGGGGCTGGAGCCTCCTGAGCCCCTGTGAATCGCCACCCATGTCGCTCACCCTTCGTCATCCATGACTGCAGGTCGTCGTAACGAGGAACTTTTTTTTATCGATTCTCAGCGCCCGCCTGGTCAGAACCGTGGAACCGCGTGCAGATGTCACGATCGGATGTACTTCCGACCTCCTATTTCCTGTCTGACGCACCTCCAACGGAAAGTAGGATCGTGTGTGGCGACCACCCCTTCGCATTGACATACGTCCTCGAAGCCTGGAAATTCCAGGGGCACACTTCCCGTCCCACATATGTGAAACGCTACCGTTCAAGCTTTTTTTTTTGGGGGGGGGGGGGGGGGGGGGGGGGGATAAGATTGATTCAGTTTACCAAATTTGCGTTTTCTTCTAGGAAAAGTCGCGAACTTTTCAGCTTCCCCTCGTATTTTCAAATGGCATTTTCTCGAAACGTATTTATGCTAGCGACTTGAAAGAAAAAGCAAACGAAAGTTCAACTAATTTCCTATCGAATGGTATATGGTTTTATGACCATAGCTCCCATACCATGGCTGCCATGCCCATTTTTAAAAAACATACCACCAAAAAAAGTTGCGCGCATTGTACGTGCTAGCTTGTCATTCGGCATTGGTGTCGCCTTTTTTTCCTCCATTTCATAGCATACTCCCTCAGTTTTTTAAATTTATTTTCAACCCGTGTTTCACACCCCATCAAGCATGAGACCAGCATAGGGAAAGAGGTGATTCTTCGGACCTCCCAAGTTGATTCCTGACCTGTCGATAGGGCCTCACAGGCGAATGGCTCGACATAACTGGTTTTCCCTTCATCCACACAACACCGCTTCGTGTATGAAATTAATTTATTGATTTACCCTTTCAGGACAGTAAAAATGAGTGTTTATCGCATTTTAACGGAGGAGGGTAAAAGCATTATTCGTGCTCTTCGCGAAGAAAAAGGATATTCCTTAGAAAAAAAAAACTCTGCGTGAATATCCAAATCCAAACTGGAAGAGACGAAATGTGGCATGTTTTTGAAAAAACTTTCCCAAACCGGGAGTGGAAAACGTGCTCCAGGTAGTGTCCGCCCCAAAAGTGTAAGAACTGAGGTGAACATTCGAGCTGTTAGTGACCTCATCTCGAGCCAAGAAGGCAGACCAGGCACCAGCAAAAGCGAGCGTAAAGCTGCGAAGGAAATTGGAATTTCGCGTTCTTCTATGCAGCGTATCATCAAGCAAGATCTTAGACTCAAAGTCTTCAAAGGGGTACCAGTTCCCGAACTTTCGGAAGCTGTGAAGAAGAAGCGAATGATGCGGTGCAAAAAACGTTTGAATCGTTTCCGATCCCAAAAAGCTGCAAAAACAGTGTGGTTCACAGATGAGAAGCGCTTCACAGTTGAGACTCCAAGGAACACCCAGAACGATCGCATTCATGCAGCAGTTGAACGGAAAAGAGATGTCGAACCAGCTAGGCTTTTACGTCAGAGAAAGCACTTTACTGAGTCAGTCATGGACTCCTTGGAGCCTCATCTCATGGCAAAACTTCCATTCTATTCATTCCTAGAGGATCAATGCTGAAAGTTATTGCAGTGATGTCCTGATGCCCATGCTGGCAGAGATCGAGGACAAAAGCCCCAATGGCTACGTGTCTATGCAAGATGGGGCACCAGCCCATGCAGCTCAACATACCATCACTTTCTTGAGGAACAACTGCCCTGATTTCATTGAACCAGGCTCTTGGCCACCCTGCAGTCCTGACTTCAACCCAGTCGACTACTTTGTGTGGTCAGCTTTGGAGCAGAAAGTGTAACGGGGTGTAAGAATCCGAGACGTCGAACAGTTGAAGGAGCGAATTCGCATGGCTTGGGATGGAGCTCTGCGGAGCTCCATCGCCAAGGCCATTTCCAAGTGGAGAGGCAGAATGAGAGCAGTGGTTGATCATGGTGGAGGCCACATCTAGCCATTCATTGAAAATTAAAGTCAAAGGTAAGTCTTCATGTTTTTGAACTCTTGCAATGCGAAGACACGATTAAATTTCTAATTTTTCTCGCCGCGCAACTTTTGTTGGTGGTATGTTTTTTAAAAATGGGCATGGCAGCCATGGTATGGGAGCTATGGTCCATATACCATTCGATAGGAAATTAATTGAACTTTCGTTTGCTTTTTCTTTCAATTCGCTAGCATAAATAGTTTTCGAGAAAATGCCATTTGAAAATAGGTGCACTTTTTTTTGGGCCACCCTGTAGATACCGAGGACAGACGGACTAGATCGCAATATCTGCCCTTTCCCTCAGTACCAATGAGAATGGCAGATGAAAAGGCCAGCTACCATTTTCTAAGACGAAGCGGGTACCAAAAGGAAAGGAGCAGGTGAGATGTTACGAATAAGAAAATGTGCCGCAAGAACAGCGAGAAGTACTTTTGCCACTTCTGCGATGAAGACTACACCGTGCTAATACAGACAACATGTCTGTATTGGCACGGTGGGGAATTGCAAATTTCTGCTCCACAACAGATGTCCTTGCAATCACGGTTTCTTCCTGTTGGGCCCATTATCACATTCCCACACCCTAATAAGGACAGTCTGTTTTACTGATAAGTCACTTGATTTGTGTCGTCATTCGAAAGGGTGCAGGGTGTTCCCTTACGGGAACTCCATATTCAGATTTCGTGCGAATTATCAAATATGGCCATACAGGGGTGCTTAGCTCGGAATGTGCATGGTACAAATAAAGATTACATATGGGAGACTGTATTTGGAAGCCGTCCAGACCATATCATGTTTTGGCCATTCTTAAACCTTCCTTCGGTTTGTACGTGGGAAATTATCGAGTTGAGGGTGAAAGCTTCTGCAGAATCATTCATTAGCATTTGAGGAATCGGGAGACATGTAGCGGCGGGATGAGCGCGACCTCGCTCATATTGTGAGAACTTTTTATTTCTTGAACGAACTGCAAGATGTCAGGCCATATGGAAGGCCCTCAACGTGCATGCGTGTGTTTCCATGGACAGTACATGGGCTGAACAGTTTCCAAATATATTCCAAATACAGTATTTTCTCCGTATAGTTTATATTAGTGTCATAAACATTGCAAACCTAGCACCATATTTGGGGGTCTATACAGGAACCATATATAGTTCCATATTTATTAAGAATGGCCAAAACATGATACAGACTGAACTATTTCCAAACAAGGCTAAATTCAGTACTGTACAATCCTATGCATACGCCTGTATTTGGAAGTTCCGTAAGGGTTGCTAGTCGTAAACGCACAACTAGTCAATAGAGCGAGCATAGGAGGAAAGATTTGGAGGATTTAGTGGAGGAGGATTCATATCTACGAGAAAAAGTGGGCCCCAAGATCATAAATTTTTTGTATGATGAACAAAAATAACCAAAAAACGGCCAT